AGGCTTCGGCTGGGTGGTGGGTGCTCCCTGGGGAGCCGTGCCCCACACGGACATGGGCAGGGTCCCCTGATGGGGGACCTGCTGCTCCCCTGCTCCTGCCCACCTACCGTGGCCTGATGGGGGCCAGCGGAGGCCTTTCGCCACCCCCCCACCCCATCAGCCAGCCCCCCAGCACCGTGGCGGGGAGACATGACACCAGGGGACGTGCCGCTGGGCACACGAGGAGCTGTGCCAGAGCTGGAACGGCACCCAAAGCCCAGGGGCATGGAGCCACCCCACTGCGGCACCCCTGGGTAACACACCGCACCGTCCCTCTCTGCGTGCCCACACCCACACGCCTTCAAGGGATCCCAGTGCCACGGCACGGCCGAGTGCTCGCACCACCCCGTGCCTTTGCCCCACGGCTCCTCTCTGCCCCCCACCCCAGGACAACCTCAATCTCCTGCTGACGGAGGAAGAGATGTACAGCCTGATGGAGACACTGCGGCACTGCGAGATCATTCCAGGTGCGGACCCTCCCCGCAGCGGGTCCCGGATGGTTGGGGGAGGCGGGTCCCCCCTCCCCGGACACCACGCAGCCAATCTGTCCCCCGCAGAGACCTGCCTGACCCTGGACGACTTCCTGCACTACAAGCACCTGGTGCACAAGCAGCAGTTCGAGCGGCCCATGGCTGAGGCGCAGGAGGAGCAGGCAGCCCTGCAGTTCTCCGCCCTGGACCCCGACAAGAAGGGGCACATCGAGTGGCACGACTTCCTCTCCCACGAGTCCATCCAGCTGCTGCAGAACCTACGGCCGCAGGTACGGCTGCGGCACCCGGGGCTGGCTCCCACGGCCAGCACTCGTGGCCACGGCACCCCGGGCCAGCTCCCACAGCCAGCATCCATGGCCACGGCACCTGGGGCTGGCTTCCACGGCCAACACCCATGGCTGCAGCACCCGGGGCTGGCTCCCATGGCCAGCTGCCATGGCCAATGGCCACGGCACCTGGGGCCACGGCCCACGGCACCTGGGGCTGGCGCCAACACCCCCCGTGCAGGGCCCCCCCGGCCAGCACCCATGGCCGCGGCACCCAGGTCCAGCTCCCACAGCCAGCACCCATAGCCGTGGCACCCAGGTCCAGCTCCCACAGCCAGCACCCACAGCCGTGGCACCCAGGGCTGGCTCCCACAGCCAGCACCCATGGCCATGGCACCCAAGGCCAGCTCTCATGACCAGCACCCATGGCCGCAGCACCCAGGGCTGGCTCCTACAGCTGGTACCCATGGCTGTGGCACCCAGGGCCGGCTCCCATGGCTGCGGCACCCGGGGCTGGCGC